TCGACCCCAGAGGAGGAAGAGCCAGACTCGGAGTCGTCGTCGGACTCGGATTCAGACTCTGACTCGGATTCTGACTCGCCCTCGCCCTCGCCCTCGCACATAGCCCCAGACCCGGACGCAGACGCCGCGTTGGACTGGGACAACGACCCGACGAAGTACGAAGCGCGCGCGCGCATGCGGGTCGCGGAGCGGATGTGGAAAAACGAAGTTGGCGAGGCGTGCGCGTTGGCCGACGCCTCCCTAGCCCTCGGATGCGAAGAAACCGAAACCGAAGTTGGCGCGTCGCTCGCTTCTGAGGCGGACGATGACGCGCTCGAGCCCAAGTCTGACGCTGAGGGCGGGGACGACAGCGCGCTTGGGTCCAAGTCTGAGGGCGAGGACGACGACGCGCCCCGATCTGACGATTCAGACGCCCCCGCACCCGCACCCGAGTTCCCCTACGTCGCCCGCTTCTAGCGCGCCCGCCCCACCCCGCACTGCTCCCGTTTCGTCCTCCCCACACGTCCGCACGCGCTCCGAAGGGCGGCGGGCCGCGGCGCCAGAACGAAAACCGCGTGCCCAGACGAACGTACGAACAACAGCGCAGCGCAGGGCCGAGACCAAAAACACCCGCCGCGCCGCCGAAACGAAAGACGAAAAGTACCTGTACGGCTGTCGCAAAAGTCCGAAATGAGTTATAGGCGCGTATAGGTTCTTACAAGGCTGTATAACCCTGTAATATTTTCGGGGGGGCTGTAAGGCTCAAAAAGGCGCTGTAGTAATTTATAACTATTTACGGAACTTATAGGACTTATAAGTGCTTAGGGGCGGTTATTGATGAATCCTGCACCCGAGCAATTCCACGGCACTTCCCTCCCTTTCTACCCCTTCACCGATGCTCAAGAATAAATGATAACCAATTTTATTTCATGCTATAGTAATACAGGTACAGGATACAAGACATGGCACTCATAGGTGACGTACCATTTGAATGCCGCATGAGCTAGAGGAACATAATAAGTCAAGGGAAATAAAACTAGCTTGGAGACTCACCGGAGCCGAGTGACTTGATAGCGAGTGGTGGCATTGATGACTGACAAGTTAAGATTAGAAGGAGCAGGCGCCGACAGAGGAACACAACGTACCATATGATCTGGTCCGTTGGACAAACTTGGGTTTGCTGAAGCGCAGCTATCTAAACCAAGGTTATAAGGAACAGGTGGAGACGGGGATATGGCGCACCGTGTTGTGAACAAATCGGCGCCCATCCTCGAAATGAAAGGGTGGCCGGGGTAATCGGCTTCAGCGGTGGGCAGCTGAGGTCTTCGGGTGAGGGCGTGCGAGGGCAAGGTGAGTATGGTCTTCGGCGAGGAGTTGGCGAAGGGCCGAAGGTGGTGGTTGGAGGAAGAAACAGGTGGAGTCACAACGTCACAGTGTTGCGGAATATATACGTCAGTGACATCATTTACTCCACAATTGCCCACGTGCTCTGCTGCCTCGACATTTTTCGTTAACTTTAAGTCCCGCTCGACAGCCTGCAACTGCACAGAACCCTACCTGCCGCGTCGACTTGCCACGACCACCCACATCGCCCGCCTCGTATCACCCGCACACGCGCATCCGCCCCACTCCGCTTTGTCCCCACGTCCACGTCCGCCGGCCCGCGGCGCCCCATTCAGACGCGCGCACAGCGCTGCTCCCGTCCCTGCAGACCCCAAACTAGCGGGGAACTTCGCCAACACGGGAGCAATCACGTTGCAGGGCCTTTGTGCGAGAATGAGGGGGCAGTGCTAAATACCAGAGGGGTAGGGGAGCGGAGGGATGCCAGCGCAGAGCCGCTCAGGCGTTTCGTGGCGAGGGTGCTGACGGCGGGAGAGGAGATCCCGTTGCTGGGACTCCCTTTTCTGCGGCCCCGCTCGTCGCTCTCCCGTCCACGTCCCATTCGCCGCGTACCCCCGCTCTCTCTCGCCTGTCCGCGTCCCCTCGACCCGCACACTCGTCGCTGGAGTCCCTCCTGAGAGTGCAATTCACTGCTCCCCCAATCTGCAGGAGTCAGACTTTGATTACTGTATGTATTGGTTTCAATTTAATATTTCTGGTTTCTCGGTGCATCGTCTACTGTACTACCAATATTATCTTGGCTGGGGTGAATTTTGTTTCGGGTGCAAAAGGCGGATCGAACATTTTATCTAGATGATGTAGACTGGTTGTTACGCGCTGGAAATTGAATACACTTGATTGCTACGATGTTTGAATGCCCTTGAGCATTGAGATCCCAAGAATATTGGTGGAAAGCGGGGAAAGTTTTAAGTACTTACAGTCACTTACAACCTAGCTGTAAGATGGGTATGAGTTAGTCGTAAGTAGCCTATAAGTCTGTAAGCCTCTCCAACCCCTTATAACCCAAATCGGACTTTTGCGACAGCCCCTACCTACATCACCTATACACATACCGGGAGCGTGGAATCCACATACCTACTTGCTCACGTAGAGGAGCCTGGAGGAGCGTACTTACGATAATAGAAACGACCCAAGGCTCACGCTCAGATAAGCTTGGAGGACGGGACAGGGAGAGGCGACGAGGCTGCTTCGAGGTTCGAGGCGTAGTGTAAGTAAGCGATGCTACTACTAGACCGGTAACCGATCTCAGATTCTCTCATATGAAATCGTTCATAGATTCTATGAACAATTTCTTCCGAGAGATTCTATGAACGATTTCTTCATACGAGAGATCGGTTACCGGTCTAGCGTGATGCTCGTCGGCGCAAGTTTACGCGGCCTGCTTCAAGGCTCGAACAAGGACAGGCACCCTGCCACAGGGTAGATCTGAGAGCTGTCTGGGCCAGTGTGCGCGAGCGCCGGGACTCGGACCATCGACAGAGTAAGAGTGAGAGGCCGAATCGAGACAACAATACATCGTTCTCATCCCCACCCCACAATTCCACCCCATTCCCCCCATTCGCCCTCAATCCCAATCCCAGTCCCGATCCCACTCATCTCATCCCAATCCCAACAGCACAGAATGAAGAGTGGAGACAAGCAGTTTATTCATTCATTTATATCATTTATATCATCACCGGTCATGTGTATACACCCCCGCGAGAGCGCCCAAACCAAAACGAAAACCAAAAACTAAACAAGAGACGCGGGGGCGGGGGGCTAGATCGACAGCGACGTCAAGAATGGAATGGAGGGACGGGGGACGGCGGTGCGTGAAAGGTGCCGGTGCCGGGACCGGGGCCGCGGAGACGTAGGCGTAGACGTAGACGGAGACGTAGATCGTGGATTAAGATAGGAGGGGTGGAGTGGGGGGAGGGTACAACAAGGCGGGCGAAGGTAGGCGGGGTGGGACGCCGTAGAAGGGAGGTGTAGAGGAGGGAAGGGAGGAGGTACATACAGGCAGGCGGGGCATGTGAGAGCTAGGGTAAGGGGCATGGGGGTGCGTAGATGACGGACGGACGACGACGCGATCTCGGGTCTATGGAAGGACGAGGAAGGGTGGGATCAGCCCAACGGGTGCGCGTGCGGGTGCGCGGCGGGCGGGAAGGACGCGGCGCGGAAGATGGAGACGAGCGGGGCCGGGGCGGTGGGGGTGGAAACGGTAGAGGTGGTGGGGGCGGGGGCGGGGGGCTGTGGGTGTGTGAGTAAATGCTGGATGCGGGAGGATGCGGGAGGAAGAAAGGGGGAGAGGAGGGGGAGAGAAAACGAAGGAAGAGGCAGGAGGAGGAGAGGGAAGAGGGAAGGAGAGAAGGAGAGAAGGAGGAAAACCAAGGACGAGGAAAGGAGAAAACCAAGGAAACGAAGGAGAGTAGGAGAGCTACGACCGACCGGGCGAGCACGCCTCCTGCCCCACCGCGCAGGCATGGGCGTAGCGTAGCGCAGTGCTCCGTCCCCCCAGCAAGCGCATGCCTCCGTCGCCGCTCGTTGTGGCTTCAAACACCACCCATGCTCTCCGTCTCGGGGGCTGAATGCGACGCCCCCCGAGAAAACGGGAGCCCACAATAAGAGGAAAGCGAGAACGAGGACGAAGAAAAGAGAAGGAAGAGGGAGACGGAGAACAGGAGTAGAGGTAGGAACAGAAACGGAAGTAGGAATTCGAAGAAGCAGCACGCACCATCTCGACGTCGCCGCTCGCGGCGTGAGTATCCCACTCGCAGAAGGGGGGGCTAAAGGCAGGGGGGATGACGAGGGCGGGGGCAAAGGCGGGCTGCGGGCGCGCGGTGCCCGTTGCGATGAGCGATTGGAGGTAGGTCTCGAGGCGGAGTTCCTGGGGAAGGGTAAGATAAGGAATTGGAGGGGAAAGATTAGATAGAAACTTACCTCGAAGCTTGTGCACTCGAGGCCCGGGATCGCGGTAATGCTCTGGAACACCTCGCCCTCGGGCGCGCGCCGGCGCGCACGCGCCTCTGTCCCCGTCCTCACCGCCTCCACACCCTCCACCTCCACCTCCATCACGCCCATGCCCTCTCTCACGGGCTGCGGCGTAGACACCGCGCGCGCTACGCGGCGCGCACCCGCGATCCTCCGCGGCGTCACGGGCACCGGGGCCGGCATGGCGCGCTGCATGCGCTGCAGCGTCGAGACATACCCGTCGTCGCTCCCGCTCTCGCTGCCCGAGTCGCAGTCGAACGCGAGGTGCTCGAGGTCGAGCGTGCTGAGGTCAACGATCGCCGCGCGCGGGGGGCGTGGCTTCCCCTGGACGGCGTCGTAGGTGGGGTCATAGGCGATGGGGCGGGGGAGGTCCTGGGGGGCGGGGGCGTCGCGGGGGGTGTAGTAGTGGTCTAGCATGGTGGGTGTGGGTGTGTGCAGCGCGCATGTGCACGCCGGGCGTCCTAGGGAGGGGATTCACAAGAGCGCGGGGGCCATGGTGAGGGCTGTTGTGGATGTCAGGAGCAGATGAGTCGTACGGTCACGGGATCAGAATGGTCTAGGCGCGCGCCTAGATTGCGAGGAAATTCAAACAAGGCAGATAGTAGACAAGTGAATTCCTCGAGGAAAAAAAAGTTCAAGAACGCGCGGCATGGCTCGGGCTCGATTCGAACGAGCAGCTTCTGCTTCACATTGGTTGACATTTTGCAAATGGTTTTTTTTTACAAATCGCAGACACGGGCCACCCGCCACCGAGCCATTCCCTACCCGCCTTTACCCGCAAATAGATAGGACACATTTAGGAGGAATTGCTTACATAGATTGAACTATGGGATAAATTGAACATGCTATTTTTCAGCGATGGAAACAGGCCTACCAACGGGGTGGGGGTGGCATCACGGGAAGCGCGTTCAATCTTCTTGCTCGGAATGCTTACCCGTTCAGCGCGCAACAAAAAAAAGATCGACATGCTCCTGACATGGCTCGGGCTCGAGTCGAACGAGCACCTCCTGCAGCAACAGATTATCGCTCTACAAGTTGCAGACGCGGAGCACCCGCCACCGAGCCTTCCCTACCCTCTTTACTCATAGCCATAAATAAATAAGCAGGAAATGAATGAACTCGGTTTCACCGTAAGTCCGATGACCGCCCACTCATTATTTCGTGGCAAGGGTACTGTAGCATCCCAAGTGTGTTCAATCTTCTCGGTCAGAATTAATATTAAAGGCTTACCTGCAGGCTGTCCCTCACCTGGCGTGCAAGAAAAAACAAATGGCAGATACTCTCACCATGGCTCGGGCTCGAGTCGAACGAGCACCTCCTGCAGCAACACACGACAGCCCTACAAGTTGCAGATGCGGACCACCCGCCACCGAGCCTTCCCTACCCATCTTTACCCATAAACAAATAAGCAGGTTTTGAGAGATAGCAGGAAATGAATGAGCTCGGTTTCACCGTAAGTCCGATGACCGCCCCCTAATTATTTCATGGCAAGGGTACTGTAGCATCTCACGTGTGTTCAATCTTCTTGCTCGGAATGCTTACCCGTTCAGCGCACAACAAAAAAAAGATCCAAGTGGTGGTCCAAACATGGCTCGGGCTCGGATCGAACGAGCACCTCCTGCATTAGCAGCTGACTGTCCTGCAAGCTGCAGACGCGGACCACCCGCCACCGAGCCTTCCCTACCTATCTTTACCCAGAAATAAGTAAGCAGGTTTTAAGAGATGGCAGGAAACGAGTGAACTCGGTTTCACCGTAAGTGCGATGACCGCCCACGAATTATAATTTATTTCGTGGCAAGGGTAGCATCCCGAGTGTGTTCAATCTTCTCGGTCAGAATCAAATGCTTACCTGGCGTGCAAGACAGAAAAAATAGCAGACACTCTTTCAGCTCTATGGCTCGGGCTCGAATCGAACGAGCGGCTTCTGCTTCAAATTCGAATATATGATAAAGAGATAGGGTGCAAATGCGGACCACCCGCCACCAAGCCTTCCTTCCCTACCCTTGTTGACCCATAAATAAGTGAGTAGGAATTTAAGAGCTAGGAGGAAGCACATGTGGCTCGCGTCTTCGACACTCCTGTTCAGCACAATTAAATCCGTAACTATTGCAGAGGGATTGACTCCTGTTGAAGGTACATGCTAAAAAATTTCAAGGTCGGTCAACCAGGATATAATTACCTGTTGACATTAGATATACTTAAGATCCTCCCCGCGAATCTCGCCCACCTCAGCCTCGGCGCCTGCTTGCGGCTTCATTACGGTCTGCTCGGATCGCCGCCCACCGGGGAAGGCACCCACCATAAAGGTGAGGAAGGACTTGAGGATTGGCGTCGCGGTCGAGCGAGAGCATGAAAACCTTTGCAGCGGAAGGTGAGCGAATTTGAATTATCCTGACTATCCAAACAAGCCAACGGACTCTAAAACCTCGCTAATCGGACGAGCACCTCACTGCTTAAATCGGCGTCCGGTGATAAGTACATTTGTGTAGTATATGTAAGTAGAGATACAGGGTAATTATTCTTCAGATAATGAGGATAACTATGATATATGACAACGGACAGCACCTTGAAAATCGTGGTGCATCCCCGCCGAGAAGGCCGTACCACTCTTTCTGCCCGTGGGCTCAGACGCATCGCCCTCCGAGTCCACCGCACAGCGCTGCGCGAACACGACGCTGAGAGGTGTTGTGAGGTCACGGCCTGGCCCACCGGATTTGACCGTGGGCAGGGAGGGCTCCCACACCCTGAGCTTCGTGTTGCGGTAGACGCGGCAGGCCATGATGCTCAACACTGTCATACTCGTGGGGAGCATCACCCCATGGTATATGGAATTGGCGTCCAGAACGGTGTTCGGAAGGTACACCAACAATATGGCGGCGCAGTTCGTAGCGGCCGTAATCCTGCGGAGCAAGAATGGGATCAGCGTCGAATGATGATGTGGATGGCGACGCACATGTAATACATCTGCCCGTCAGTGAATAGCGCCTTCGAGAAGGCGGGTAGGTTGGCGCCGTTGAAAAATGTCCGGACCTGCTCCCCACACGTCAACTCCTCCGAGTGCCGAAAATTTGAGACCAGTCGGTAGGAGATCGCGAAGAAGCTGAGGGTGTCGTACACAGCTAAGGCGATCCCCGCGATCCCCGACACACTAGTGTTCTCCCCAGCATTCACAAGGACGCAATGACGAGGGTCCCCGAATCCAATCGCGTTCCCGCGGAACGGGACGGTCATTGATGTGGCCACGACTATGAGCCACAGAAATCCGAATGTTGCTGTGACGAGGCGATCGCCGCCATATACACCCCGCACTCGGAAAAGAAAGAGAAAAGTTGATACAGAGATGACGAGTGGGTAGAAGCTGTTGAATGCGACAAAAGCCGTGTCGCACGCTTGAATAGGGTGTGCTGGATCACTATATATCAGCGTTGGCTCAGACTATCCCTCACATCAGACGCGCACTGAAGAATATCGTGAAGCCCAGGAGGTAAACCAAAGATGCAAGTCTGTTGTTAGGTTTTACATGAGTTGCCGTGGACGTGTACGTAGATAATTATTCACCTGGACACCACATACGCCCCGGACGTCACGTGAAATCTTCGTTTGAAGAGCAGCATATAGTCGTTCCGGAGGTTGTTCAAGACATCCCAAATGAGAACCTATGGGGTCATTCGTCAAGATGGGCTAGAAAATGACCTGAAACAAGCACGCACCGCTGTGCAGCCCACCAGCACATACGCCGAGAGCTGGATCTCCCTCTGAAGCTCGGCAGGGAGCTGCCCAGCGCGCCCTGAGGGCTGGGACATGGTGCGGAGGACGCGCTGAACTCTGTGAGGGGCTTTTGAATCAAGTTTCCATCAGTCGTTGGGGTCTGTCGTCTTAAGGCGAAGAAGGCATGAGACAGCATGAGAGAATGTACAGATCTGAGATATCGCCGAGAAACGACGTCCCACAATTTCAGATGCTGCGGATATTGTGCGCCATACAGTGGCCCGGGCACTTCGAAGTATCGAAGAGGAGTGAATAAATATTAAACGAGACAGAACGAGACAGAACTTGAACATTTCAACCCACTCCGCCGTTGAGAATAATTCAGTTGATGCTGTGGGCAGATCAGAGGGCGGGAGCAGGCGGAACGCGGGGTAGCATCCGGAGCAGGAGAATTCAATATACATGTCAATGGGTCAAAGGAATCTGTCAGTCTTGACCCTGGAACGACAATTGATCGCCGTCTGGATTCTCAGGGCATGTAGGACTCCCGCGTCGGCTCAAGATCAAGCCCGACCGCTCTGACTCTGACTCGAGCCCGCCTTGCCTTTTACGTCGTCGACGTGCGCCCCCAAAGCTGGAGGCATCAAGTGCACCCTACGCGGGGTTCGAGAACGAGGACAGAAAACAGGAGGAGCAGGAGGAGGGAGTGAAATCGGCACGAGAGTGAGTGAAATCAAACCGGAAAACGAGCTCAAAGCCGGGACAGAAGGGCAGGAAAGCGAGAACGGCAGGAGAGCAGGGTGGAAACCCAGGAATCCGAAGAGGGGGAGAAAGATAAGTACCGTGTAAACAGAACAAGCCGTCCCCGTCCCAACTCGGCCCTCGGGCTGAGCGCGAGGCCCCTCTCGTATACCCGCGATAAGGAAGGAGATCGTTCAAGGTTGAACCCAGTAAGGGAATTTGATACCACAAACACCATAATCGCGCCCTTCTTAAGGATGGAGCGTGCATGATCCTTCAATGCTGGTGGTCGAGCGACACGTCCTGAGCGAGTAGACGTCTGGGTCGCAGGTTCGTAGGGAGCAGAACAAGGTTCCGGAGGAGGTGTCGGAGTGCGACCGGGAGGAGGCGGTGAAGGTGAGGTTTCTGGAAAGGGCGTGGAAAGGGATTTAACGGGCGCGGTGACGCGGTCGAAATTAAAGCGTGGTGGGCGAGGAAGCTTGGGATACGACGATGAAAGTGTTCCAATTGTTCGTTGAATGTTGTTGGAATATCGAACATTGCGATCCAACTGCGTTCCGAAATAGGAAGATTACGCCAGTGAATGAAATAATCGTAGCGGCATCCGACTCTGCGCGAATCAAGAACGGTTTCGATGTCTCTGGCTTTGTCAAGAGGATCGAGTTCGACGTGGGAAATGGAAGGAGGAGATTCGCGGTCGGCAATGCTGGAAGAAGGAATATGTTTTTCAAGGAGCGAAGCGTGGGATGAAGACGAGACATAGAAGCCGGAAGAAGTTGGAGTAAATATGATGAGAGGCCGCGGCATTCGAGAACCTTGAACGGTCCGAGGCGACGATAGTCAAATTTGGGGTTTGGGCGCGTGGTTTCGCGAGCAAATCGTCCTTAAAGCACGTAACGAGCTGCCAGTAAACAAGAATAAACTTAAAAGTACGTGGCTGACAGTCCTTGAAGCCAGCAGAAAAGGCCTCAAACTCGTTCAATCTGGGAGATATTAGTCAAGGGAAGTGGGTACCGATTTTTCTTGGTGATGGAATTAAGTCCGCAATAATCAACGCAGAGTCAAAGCCCGCCATCCTTCTTGGCGAATAAAATCGAGGCACCGGCAGAGGAACGGGCACGGCGAATAGCACCCTTTTTGAGGTTACGTTGAATAAATGGGCCCGAACGGCGGTGATTTCCCATCTTCGATGTCGATGTCGATCTCGAAACCGGTGAGGCGGGAGTTTGGTGACTTCGATGGGTGAAAAGACGTCGACGTAGGCATGGTAGGACTCAGGAACGAGCTTCCTGACGACGTCCTCGGGGTCGGGCGGTTCTTCATCGTGGGGGGAGGTCAGGAGAAGGAGGATCAAGGTCCGGGGGAGTAGCAGGAGAGGTAGGAGGCACAGGCGGCGGAGTAAAAATATCGCCATAGCCGGATGGAACGTCGGGAGCCGTAGTAGCGTAAATGCATGCCTTCAGCTCTTCGTTCGGGGTGTACCAAATTAAATTGGTCTCGTACTTGAACCGCGCGGAGTTGATGAAACAAATACCCAGGGGTTTATCGGGAGGCATGGGATCGGGAGAGACTGGAACGTGGGAGGTCCAAATGGCGAGTAACTCGGTCCGACTAAGGCCGAATTGCGGAGGCGTTAGCTAGACGACCGCGTGCTGGGTGTGTACTGGTTCTGCACGATGAATGCGGTCAGAAATGGATGAGGAGAGCGATTTGCCGTTTAGACGAAGGCTTAGTCCGACAGAGGATATCGCGGAGACAAAAGACGAGGACGGAGGCAAATGTACAAGACCATAGGCTTTTCCAAATGCGGATACAGGGAAATCATGATCCGCGCCACAACAGGACAGCGTGAGCTGCCCGCGGGCCCAATCGATGGAGGGATTGTGGTGATTACTGTACTATTTCGACCAAGTATTCAGGGGGTGTGACCAGTGACCATAAGTATTCATTTCCCATCAATTCAACTGAGGTTGAGACCTGTGACCACTATTTTCAGCATTCATTTCGAAAGTATTCAGCTCAAATTTCGGCTCGAAGAACCGCCAAAACTGAATTTCCCGCAGAAACAGACCCGATTGGGCTGCATCTTCCAACAAACTGGCGTCAAAAGAGCACCGGTGGCTGGAGAAAATTTTCGATTTTTCGGCCTTGCAACCGGATAAAACGGTCAAGTATTCAAGGCTCTCGGTAACCTGTGACATATTTGGAAAGTATTCATTTCAACCGG